AAAAAAAAAAAAAAAAAAAAAAAAAAAAAAAGGGCTGCTAGCGACAACGCCCGAACATGGCACTATTGGCAACCGGGTGTGGGCGTCGGCTGCAACATGCTAAAACCATGCGGCAAGAGCCCCATGACAGGGAGATGCTGCCCGACGGCCTGCGCGGTCATAAGTGGTACATTGAGTGAGGAGGCTGCGCTACCGTATTTTTGAAAGGAAGTGTTGTCAAATTTTTTGTGTGACGCAACGATATTTTTTTTCTTCATGGTGGTAGTGACCGGGACATGGTGTATTCGGCAACGTTTTAACTTTTAAGGGAAAGTGCTGTTGAAAGTGCACAACGCGATTGGTGGTTTTACCGGAGGTATTCTAAGAATACGGCGATGATTTTTTGCGGCATGGTATTTGGCGGCGTGACCGTTTGAGTATTGGCACTACGACATTGACACCGGAGGTACTGATAATTTTGGACAAGCGTCGTGATCCAGGTTATTTTTTTGGAGAATCATTTGGTGGTGCGGTGGCGGCGTGGAACCACTTGGGACCCAATTTGAAACCAAGTGAGTTGGAATTGAGACTGAAACAAGTATCGTGGCGGACGTTTTGTGATCTGGCGTGGTGATTGGAGGAGATTGGACTTGGGATTGAGGTGGAACTATTATCAGTGCATGAGGTGTCATTGAGAGTGTAGTGGGACCACGCGGGACTTGTAGGTGAGAAAACCCTCCTCGAGGGTTATCTCACTTCAGCTCTTGTGAATGGTGCCTGCGTCCGTTGTGACACTTGAAAAGGATGCGGATCATTTTTTTTGTGGACGATCGCAAGTTATGAGTTGTGCAGCCGATCTTCTCTTGTGAGAAAAATATTTGGCTTTCTTGAGAGAGTCATCGTCAACTTCACTCAAGGTCAGTTGTGACTCAGTTCCCTTTTCACGCCTGTGTGAACCCGCACCTAGCATGACCTTGCTTTGAATTAAGGGAAAGACAAAGTAGGATGTGTGACGTCATGCATGTGGGAAAGGTGGACTGACTTGGTTGAGAGAAGGTTAACAACAGTCGTTTTTTTCATCACCACTTCAGGACACCCTTCACCACTTCAGGATGCAGCCTGCCTAAACAGGTGGTTTTCAGGGTCTTCGGACCTTTCACCACTTCAGGACCATTCAGGATTTTCAGACTGCCCAAAACTCTCATTTCAAAATGTTAATTCCTGAATTTTCAGCTACCCGATAACTGCTTGTGACTTGGTTGGGATATGAATTTTTTCTTTTGGTTGTTTCTTTGTTGTTGTGCAGGTAAGTAAAAAATGTATGAAGGAAGAGAGTTGCATTATGTTTGCTCAAGGAAATAACAGAAAAGTTTCTCTCTCTTCAATCCATACCTGTCTGCATGTCATAAAAAATAACACATTGGAAAAAAAAAAGGTTATTGATTGTCGAAAGAAATAAAATTTCGGATGTAGAAGAAGAAATAAGAGAAACATTTGAGATTTTTCCAAGGAACATTCCATTCTATCCCGAAT